AAAAAAAGTGCAAGAGATGTTAGCGGAGACGTCGTGAGCGAGCGCGTGAAAAATATATCGCGCTAGCGGACGACGACGGAGTGAAAGGAAGAGTTAGCCGCGAGTTAGTTCGAGCCGCATCCGTCATATCGTTGGTATTTTGAAATGCTTCTTGCAAACTGTAAGGATTGTCTCCCTCTCTCTCCCTCTGTCTTTTTCTTTCCCCCCCCCCCCTCTCTCTCTCTCTGTGAATGTTTTTCCGTTACGTAAGAGCGTGGTGGTTACACGACAATGAGAATCCGCCTCGCTCTTCCGACCTCGAGAGAGTAGCGACGACAACGACGGAGAGGCTGCGGCGAATTTCTCTTGCGCGCACCGTGCGAATAATTACATGAAATATCGATTTTTGACAGGCGGCGGAGCGTGTTCGGGTCCTTCTCCGCTTTGTCCACCACGCTTTCAGGAGCGCTGGATAAACGCATTCGAGTGCTTGAGAGAGCGAGGTCGTTTCGGAGAAGGAGAAAGAGAGGGAGAGAGAGAGAAGAGAAGAAGGAAGATCAGGTAGAGGATAGTCGGCAGCCCGGACTGACCAACGGGTGCTCCGGATCCGACTGGACCGGTTTTGCCTTGGATTCCCTAGGAGTTCTAGCCTTCGGGAGTCTGCAAGACTGGCTCTCGGCTTTCTGGGATTCTCTCACTGGTCACCACCGGTTACCGGTCACTACGCGGCGCAGAACACTAGGACAGGCGCTCGTCGCTCTCTCAGACTCTTCTCTTCTCTCCCTACCTCTCTTTCTTTCCTGATTTCTTTTTTTTTACCTCTCTCCTCCTCTCCTGCGCCTTCGTCCGCCGGGAAGGAAGTTTCACGCCGCATCGCCGCTGGACGGTTCCAACCGTGCTAGATTTCAACGTATCATTTATCATCGGACGAGGGCGGCGGCCGGCTTGCACGCGCTCCTGATGACTTGATACCAAAGGCAACAGTCTCGTCGCGACATCGATACACCGGACTTCCATCTCATCCGTGTGGACCGAGCTAATTCGAGATTTTCTAAATGAAGACGTGTCAGAAAATGTGATTAATCTGAGACGTGTGATTAGGATTTGCCGAGACGTTGTATCCTGGCTTTCGACCTTCCTTAAGTTTGCACTAGATTCTTAATTAATAATTGATATTAAGAATTTAGATCGGAATTAATAATGTATGATTGGAGTTATATATATAAATCGATGACTCTCGAGCACTTTCCACCGGAAGAAGGATCTCCATTGCGATCTCACGTTAACTAGGGATCGCGCTCTTCATCCTCGTTTCGAGATGTTTCGTCGAGGTGTTGTCAAAATCCAGTTTAGGAATCGAGTTCAGCCTCCTGAAACGGTCCTGAATGACCGTTATAGGTGACGACGGCGACGGTGGTGGAGATCTTCGTTCCGGAAAGGTGGACTGGCCAGCCAGTTGCGTCGCGGTTTTGTCTACTTCGCAATACGCGTGAAAAGAGGTTGGTTGTTGAGAAAAAGGGTTGCACGCAGGCTTTACTTGGCAGGCGGTCTTCTACATCATTGTGGGAACGTCCCGATGATGGATTCGGTCATTAATTAAGTCGGTTAAGTGGGAACCTCCTGGCTCATTTTTTACTCGCGTTCGAGGTACGAACTACTTGATATGCGATATTTATCCTTGTCGTTTATTTATTATTTAACCACGCAACGATGAAATTTAGGGCTTCTAGCTGCTTATTTACTCTTTTAAATCTTGATACGTTGGATTAATTAACACGTTTAGTACCGCATGAATTACCCGGCCGACAATAACATAAGGGGATTATGCATACCTAATTTCTTTTTTCGTGCGATCACGCGGCAAGTCACGCAAAATTTATGCACCATTGAACGTGTTGAATTATATAATTATTCCTACGTAATAAATCTCCCATATACGTGTAATACTTTATAACTGCTGATTTATTCGCATTAATTTCGAGGGACTATAACTTTAATTCCCCACTTTGTGCTTTAACAACTTTATTTACGTAATCTGCAAGATCACGTACCCAGAATTAAAATGCAGAAAAATGAGAGAGAGAAAGAGATTACAAGACCTCCTCTCGCCCCGACGTATTCAAATCTTGGTGAAGACAACGAAACTTAAGTTTCAAATCTGTAGTGCTTTCAAAGAATCACCTTTGACAAAGTAATTTTGTTAGAACAATTATATAGGTAAAAAAGCAGAAGGAGATATATTAATACACATTTATAATTGTTCGTAGTCCAAGAAATTATTTAGGGACCAGGAGCTCGGCACATGTTCCTGTAGAAAAGATCGAGTTGTATAGGTCAAACCTCACTAAGTCATCGAGAATTGTGCTACCTGCATGCTAACACATTTTTTTGCGTTTGCGTGCCCGCCGCGCCAGCGCGCGTGGACGACAGGTGATACGCGTGACGCCCGCACGAGGATTTCGGGAAATCGTGTACATAGGAGGGGTGCCCGTGGAGTGGAACGTCGGGATTATCGTCGCTGTCTGGCGCTTTAGAGGTGCCATTAGCCACGGCACGTCACGCCGGTGGTAAAAGAGCGCGGCTGATGAATAGCGCGCGATGATCGCCGCTCGCGTCGCATCGGTTTCGAAGAGGGTAAAGTCTACTCGACCGCGGTGCCACCGCGCACATTCATTATGCTCACTCTTTTACGAAATGAAACCGGACGCACGCACGACGCTTCCGTAATGGCATTTACGTAATCACCGTGACGAATTTCTTTCGGAAAGATCATTTCTCTCGACCTGCGATCGGATCAGGATGATTCACTCGAATTGTTAAGATTCGGAAATCTCGATGCGTCTTCGTCTAGAAATTCTAAAAGCTTAAATTATTGGAATTTTAATACGATTTGCATCAAGATATTACTTTGATCAAATTCGCGCGGTCGATATTACGCGAACGTCAACGAGGCCTCTCGTGAACTTCGAGGCTTAATTAGCGGGAGGGTAACAAACGGCGGTTACATCTATTTATTTATGCGACTCCAATCACGAACGGCGTGTCGGGCACGACACTTCGGTGTCGTTAAACTCGCGACGGTCGGCTATCAAAACGACGAGTAAACAAAGCACTGAATCAGAAATCGATATAAAACGAGGCTCTACGGACGAGAGCCGGGCATCGGACGGCCTGTCGGTGATTAATAGTAAACGCGCCGCGGCCTTTTTTTTCTCGTCTAATTTATTCGCCCCCGCCAGATCACATTTTTCCGTGTGCACGCCTTAATAACCGTTTAATGCTGTGCTAATGACGGCTCTTTGCCGAGAGACTAATGATTTTGATCGTCCTGCGCTAACGACAGCGTCATCGGCATTCAACAGTAACAGGGCCGCCGCGCGCTGTGCAACCGCACACGTCGATTACGTTGAAGATGAAGATTTATGTAAAAATATTCCACCGCTGAATCGTGCTAATAGTACGGACTCACTATTTCATTATAAAAACGGTAACTGACTCGTCTCAGGCTAGCCTCTTCTAATTCATCGCCCATGCGATTATACTTGATAATGATACGATTAATATAATAGTAATGATTATATACTGTTTAAACGGTTAGATAATAAATATAATCGGCATATATTGGTAGCGCCGAGTCAGCTGACGGTCATTAAAGCAAATGTGTAGCAATAATGCCCGTAACGCATATTTAACATCTCATTTGTACCTTTCGTTTTGGTGAGAGATCGTCGCGGTTCGATTCGCGATTTGCATTTGCGATTTTCGTGATTTTAGCGCGGAGGAAGAGAGAAATTGCCACCTGTGTTTGAGATTTGTTTAACAAAAATACGATTTTGTACATTCTCAATAACTTTTTCAATTATAAGTTCAGAGTAAGTTTTTTTTCGATTATTCGTCTATACGGTGTGTGTGAAAACAACCGTTCAAATTACTTTACCTCTGATTGTACTTTTACCGGGCCACTTTCAATGCACGTATCGAAATTTGCGTACCAATACGCAATGATTTGCGTGTCGGGGAACGCGCGGCGAGATGATCGTGGACAACAGGGCCTCGTTTCCTCAAAACGCAAAAAATTAGCGTCGCCTCTGGGCAGAGAAGGAGGGAATCGAGGTAAAAGGAAAAAAAGAGGAGATACTGCCCGAGACGCGGCCGATGCATCCACAACAATGATAATTGCAAGTTGTTCCTTTCATGGCACCGCGCACGATTACCCGAAAATAAGCGTTTGTAATGGCATATCTTCTTTCCTCGCTCCCGTTGCTATTCGGCGAGAGTCTTTCTTCACCGCTTCTCTTCCGCCTTTCGTCCTTCGGGCATCGGGACGAGAAGCCACTGGCTATCTCTCGGCGATCGCGCGAGAGTCGCTTCATATTTTGATATAGCACGCTCCAAGATTCATATTTATTTGATCGTTGTAATCGTTACAACGGCATAACAGGTTCGTTAACATTTTTCAGCGATCGAAGTACAGGCTCTGATTCTTCATCATTAAACATATTTATTATGTATACGGCACATAGATAGTTATTCTCTATACATAAATTAGAAAATCAATTTTCGCAATATACAGTAACATGCAGAATAGATTACAACAGAATTTCTTTTTTAAAATGATTTTTGAGAATAAATAGTTTAATAGCGATGGGTATTAAAAAAATATATATATTTCACCGAGCAGCTATATTGAATTACAAAGGAGTTTTGCATCTGCCTGTATATCCGCGGATTCCATCTCGTGGGCCCTACGGTGTAACAAGCGAACGCACATAATGATATTAATCAGGGCGGTGTGTTCGGCTTCCTTAAAATTGCCGGCAGGCTCAATTTCTCACTTAAAATCTAATTAGAGCTTGCCGGAGCTCGAGCTGCCGTAGGCCGACTGACGGGATTTAAGGGGGCGTGAGGGGGAACAGAACCGAGAGGGGTCCCGTTCCCCTTCCTCGGCACAAGTGGGCCGCGAATTTGACCTCGGAATAAAGACGGATCCCAACCTAAGGCCCTACTTTGCGAAATTGCAGTTTCCTGCCCTCGGATCGCCGATCGTCCCGCGGACCCATTTTCGGATACACCAAACTCGATGATCGGCTTACCAGCCCGGCCGCCGCTTCTGACGCCGCCGCCGCCGCCGCCGCTCTACCGGACTTAGCCGGGGCCCCCGAAGAAGCATCCAGCCGTCAAGGATCAGTCGTCAGGACTTTCGGGACGTCCAGGATGAGTCGTCCGTCGATCGCGCGCAGTCAGGACACTCGGGCGGGCCTAAATATCGTCGGATTTGAGGTGAAACATTTTACTATCATATTGCGAATCCTTACCATTGAAATATAAGATTGTTGGCTTGGAGAAAGTCAGGAATGCCACATAATACCGAGATACAATATATCAATCAAAATTTTGAATATTACAATGAAAAATGAAAAAAATAGAGGAGGGGCTTGTTGACACAAGAGGCAAGTTGGCAATGCGTTCCGTTTATGTATTTATAGCAAAAGAAACAATGGAAAAGTTATCACAAAATATCTCTTACATGATATAGGTGCTTTTCCCAAAGTTTTATTTTAATCAGACAAGTATTACAATAGAAAAAGAGAAAACTCTGATTCAAGAGGTGGCAAGTAAACTTTCGAGCGTTTCAAAATATCATATTAATGTTCTTTAGCTTGAGAAGTAAATCAAAGTGACGTATCATTAGTTAAAAGAAAAGTTTCTGTTACTATACGACATGTTATTTTGACTAATAACAACAGTAATTTATTGTAATAAAATGACTGAAGTAAAACGTATGTAGGGATGGGGTATGTCGGCTCATATCAAGACTCGCTTAGCTTGACTTGTTGCCGCGCGCGTGAGACCTGTTTGAACATGTGATTTGCTACCTACAATGCTGATAGAAGCTAGATATATTTTTATGATGAAAAAAGCTACATCTAAAATAGTCTACTATCGGGGCAAGTTGGTTACAATGCAGCATGTTCGTATTTCACTTATTATAAAAGAAACTATACAGTATACAGGAGCGTTCCTAGCATGAAAATGTAGAGAAAGGTTCTTTCTATCATATTAGTACTGCTTAATCATAATAATTACTTGTATAAAAACTCAAATGCCGAAATTGTGAAAACGGTGCCAACGATCCCCGGTCTCCCCTACTAGTTATTTTATAGCTATCTCAACATGTTTTTTTTATTATCTTTGTTCTCCTGTTGGATTTAAAAAAAATTATTCGGCTTTACGTTGAGGATTATCACGATATTTGATTGATGCATCGTCTGCAAATATTTAATAGTCTGCGTGAGAGTTTTAGCGACGATAAAATATGTTTGCATTCCGCGATCGACAGGCTGGTGTCACTCGTTTTCAGAATACATTGACGTTTGATGCATAATTATATGCGTCGGACGCTAAATCGCGAGGGTCGCGCATATCGGGGATGCATACACGACGATAAAAAATGCAAACACGAGAGAGAGAGAGAGAGAGAGAGAGAGAGGGAGAAAGGGGGTGACAGAAGCAAAAAAGACGGCCAATCGTTAGCAAGGTACAAATTTCGCCATTTGCCGCAATAAACCTTCGAAACCGCTTGTAACTCCTTCTTATGGGAGGCATGAGTAATCGCCTTGTTAGCCCTTATGGCCTATAGCCCTCATGCTCGCTCCCTCATCCGCGGGAGGGACAACAACAGCAACAACAACTGCGGACGGACCGATATGGGAGAAATAAAAAAAGAAAGAGGGAAGGTGAGAGAAAGAGAGGGAGAGATAGGGAAATAGAGGAGGAGAGGAGGAGAAACGATAGGAGCACCAAACACATGCGATATATGTACCCTATCGACAACGACGACAACGGGTGTATGTGTATAACGGGTGAAGCGAAGACACTGTCGATGTAAAAGGGAAGAGCATGAATAGAACGGTGGGGAAAAAGATAAAGAGAGAAAGAAAGTCGCGTAGCAAACAGAGAACAGGAAAAAAAATCATGGCGGACGACAGATAGAGAAAGAGGACTATAAGGGGCGGATAAGATACAAGCGGATAAGAGAACAGCGGATCTTGAATATATTCCCCTGGTGCCGCCGCGCGGCGTACTATTCTTCCATTTTCCACGTTAAAATCGAACTAGACCGTATATATCGCCGCTCGCATCTACGCTCGTATCTCTCGCGTTTCGCGTCACTCGTTTTCCACGCGCTCCTTAATTAATGGCACATTAATAGAAGGAATAATCTCAATGAAAGCCGAGAGAGATGCGAGATGCGAGACGCACGCACATGATACGTAATGTAATACCTAAACACGTGTTTACGCATGCTCTCTTCCTTAATGGCAGATTTTTATTTGATAAATTCGAGTTGCACTATTTAATGATAATGTACAATATGTACATGTATGATATTTAACGATTGGGAATAAATCTAAATGAGATTTTATTGGTAAACGGTAGGAGATATCGATATGACGGCAGTCAAGGATGTTTTGATAAAAAAAATAAAAATGGAAAATAAAATTTGAAAAAAGGGACTTTATTCTCGATTGCATGTATTATCCTTGTTATCTTGCTGTTATCTCGAATTTATCATCGTATAAATATTCGAATAAATGCGAAGCATTTATTATCATATTACTGATTGCCTGGATTATATCAAATCAAGGACTTCTTACACCGAGAGTGACCCATATATGTCCAGTAGCCTTTTTAATTAACGCTCAATAATGTTAATGTGTGCGCATGTGAATCGTGGTACGCGTTAATTTCCATTCGATAATTATCGTAATAATTCGTCTCCTCCGCGATTAGCGGCAATTGCATTATGCGCACTGCAACTCGAAGATTATGATGTGCCACGTCATGAGATAATCTTAAATAATAAAAAATTAATTTTAATTAATAATAAACCTCTTACGCAACAGTTTTTCTACGAGTTGAAGTTTCCCACTATATTGTCCGCAATTACGGTACATATAGAAAAATTATTGTTCTGTTTAAAAAAAATCTTCGCAGTACTTCGCAGTTCCGGTAAGGGAAGAGGAGATCGTGTGTTCACGTCTAGTTGTTCGATTAAATAGTAACCTTTTTTAGACGCAATTCGATGCACGAACATTATTTTTGTCGGGGAGGTATAAGAAGATCGTGCGTGTCGTGTTTCTTTGCAGCGCGAGGAATTTCGCCGGAAACGAGTTGTCCGTCCGTCGTGCGCGCACGGCGCCCTCGGGATTCCTTTTTCCTCGTAATTCTCACGGGACCTCCAGCTTCGCGATACACGCACGCACGTACACACGCGCACATGCGCGCGAGGAAGTCGCGTGGCCCCATATCTTAGGAGGAAGCCAAGGGGGGTCCGGCCGAAGGACAGCGAATGGGGACTAACACTGTTTTATCGTGTAGCCAATTAATAACGTTTCTCCAGGGTTCCTCCACCTTCTCTCTCTCCACCGCCGCCAGCAGCCTCCTCCGCGAAGAAGAGATCTCGCTTTTAGATATCCACCGACTCTCCCGTCGGACCCCCCGAAGACGACATCTCGGGGTCCCGTAACTGCTCGATCTCGCGCGCTTTTTTATTTGCGTGCCTCCCCCGCGTCGTGCCGCGGGACGGTAATGAGCTAAAGCGTCACCGTTGCAGAAATATTCACGATTCCATATACCAAAGCACGCGCCAATTCGCCGCGAAAATAATCGATCGCCGGCCATACTCGAGCACCTCCGTAATAAGAGCATTTGCCTTTGTGTTTTAGCTTACAGAGTTGTCTCGCATCGTCCTCCTGCAAGCAATCGTTCCAGAATCCAGTCCCAGCCAGGCATCGTGTCAGTGTGTGGAAATACATAATTATATAGAATTACGGTATAAGTTGTGTTAAATCAATGTTAATCGCTGTAGCGAAGTGGGGTATTATAATAAATACATTATTTTATGTATATTTGCCGTCTCGCTTTCTTCCGAGAAATCATCCACGTTCCAAGCACTTAAAAATACGAATGAATACAAGTTCTGATGATTGAACGAATCGTATGTCAGATCTCTAATGTTAATCGGATTGCCAAATTAACAAAGTCCAAAAATAACTCGGGGAAAAATGTCAATGTCGTGACAAGATTACTTCATCGCTGCGATCCAAGGACAAGATCTCATTCGAATCATCGAGTCACCGTTTAATTAGTCGTTCGAAGTCGTTCGGAATTTGGCGCTGGACTTACGCGTTCCGTGAAAAATTTGTCGAACACGTTTAATTCCTCTTCCTCTCCTTTCCGCGCGGTGAACGGATCGTGTTACGATTACGAGGCACGGTCGTAATCGCTTTTAAAGGCACTTTCGGAGCTTACGGCCCGAACTTTTCCTCGGCTACAAAGAAGCTCAGCTTTTTTCCACGGTCGTTCACCGGGTGCACCGGGGAGGGAAGAGTGGCTCGTAAAGAGCGCCTGCAATAGCCCGGCATCTGCGATGCGCAATTAACGAAAGGGTTTTCGCCTTCACCCCGACCGCCACCGTCCTCCTCCTCCTCCTTCTCCCTCCCGCGCGGCAGCTTAAAGGCCAGCCGCCACACCCGCTGACAAGACGTTTGATTTATAACGAGCTTTTACTTTTTAATTCCGACGCAAGTGTCACCGCGTTTTTTCTTCTTCTCCCGAGCTGCCGGGAACCCGTTGCGTCGCGAACGCGTTACGAGACAGCCTGTAATTTATGCACGGTCTTGTTCAGGCTTCAGCTTCGCGTAATAGTGCTGGACGTCAGTGTCGAGATTAATCGTAGATGAAAATCTCAGCTGCTATCCGTCGAATCGTAAAATTAATACGTCGTATTATTCGCAGACAGAGAATACGTCAATTCCTTAGAGAATTGGTATTTTCATCACAATTTTTATCTCAACAGTAGGCATCCAGCTTAATATGAAAGGTCAAACTAATCTAAGCTCTAATTAAATTTCTAACAATGACATGGAAATATGTATTTAAATTTCCTGACGTATCAATGATACAAAAATCTACTTACTTATTTCGAGATAAGTTAAAGAGAACTTATCGCAGGGTATCGCGGTTTGCCGCAAGTTGCAGAAATAATCGACCGCGCCGCTTTTCAAGCAACTTTTCAGTGAGTATCAGCTTTGTAGCTTTAATTGTCAAAAGATAACACCGAAAGTGGGCGAAAGGCGGACGGGGAAATGAGGGAAGGAAAGAGACCAGAGATCGTGTCGTGAAAGTTTGAAGCTCTCGGTGGGTTTGCACTTAACTCGGGATTTGGGACTCGAGGGGTACTTAACCCTCGGGATGGGTTATGAAATGACTTTATGGCAGATCAGAGGCTTGCTGTAGATTGCATAAGGGGGGTCCAGGAGTACCCGCGCGTACGGGGGTACGCGCGTTCAGCTCTCGCCGACAAGTCCGAGCTGGGAGAGGACGATCTCTACGGTATGACAACGAGGAGCCAGGCCCGAGAGAATTCCGCAAATGGAATCCTGATTACGAATAACGCCGTCCTGCGACCTTTCGAAATCTCTCCGAACGTGTCATTCATGAATCGCCGGCCCAAGTTCGTAAGTAAAAATGTTTTATTGTATATTGTAGATGTGAAATTGAAGATAGTTTTTTGTGTGAATTATTAAAGAAAAATATATCGTTGCGATGAGAGGTGATTGTGGACCGCGCGCAGGATATTTTGCAACACTTGGTCTAAAAATAAAGCAAGATTATCCGCTTGAGCGCCTTTTTTATAGTCTTACGAGAGCTGACTGGAGCTGACGCAGTCGGGCTCGTAATCGTGGTACGTTCAACATCAAATGTCTGACTTTGCGCGATACATTGTTCGTTCATTGCATTTTGATACTATAGTATACAGATAATATCGTCTCAACGGAAACAAAAAAAATTAATTTAAAATAGAAAATGCTTCCATGTTAATAAAATTATTATGTTTTATTTATTTTCTTTGCCTATTTAGATATAAACTGTTACGAGATATAGGCGTTATTATACCAATTCTGCATTTAGTGAGAAGTGATTAAAGTGGTTGCAATGAGGCAAGTGGTTTGAATATGCAGGACAATGCCTGGCTTTAGTTTAAATTATAGTTAAAAAGTTACTATTACTCTTTTAAAATTTACTAAATTATAATTGTCTAAAAAAATTAATCATGTATAAGCTATTACAGTAATAATTACAGTAATAATTACAGTAATCTGATATAAAAGGATCTAATTTAGATTTCTGCAGTGGTTTTATAATTTTAAATTTGCATTACACGTACAGCGGCTCAGGTTATTTCATTATTTAACGCAGTTTTCGTACGTTTCACGGTGTAATCGATCGATTATGTCGCATCGCGTCAGTCTTCTTTTCCCTTTTTTTTTTCAAAAAAACGAAATATACGCGTCGCTTTCGGAATTTTCGCAGCGACCCACCGTCTCTATTTGCGTGACGGCAGATACGCGGCAGATAGCTCAGGTTTGAGCACCTCTTTGTAATTTTACGTTGCCGTGGGGTGGCTAAAGCTGACGCAGTGGGGTAGATGGTCGGTGGTATGCCCAGTAGCCAATTCCCGGCTTTGGGCTCGACTCGGCGGGTCCATTCATCGCCGTGCATTACGTGACCGGTTTACCAATCCAGCCCTTCCTGCACCACCGCCGCCACCGCCGCCGCCGCCGCCGCCGCTGCCACCATCGCTACCATCACCACCACCAACGCGTCCAACGCCTGGTCTATATACCTCTTTTCCGTTACGAGAGCTGGCACGGAAGGGCCGTCGGGTACGTACCTGTGTGTACGTGTATCTGCCAAACAACCCCCAGAGTCATATCGACCGGCTGGAATGGTTCGAACTCCCTTCGCGATTCCGAAATTCTCTCGTAAACGATTTTCCAAGGTTTGATTCCGCTGTCCGTTCCGTTCCGTTAAAAACGACGTTCGGCACCGACGCCGACTTCTCTCGTCTTGTCGCGCCGAGATATCTTTTATTTGCATCGCGTATGGAAAGGTCGGAAAGATCGCATTCGCGATTCGAATCACGCGTGACCACGTGAATTTTTATATGTCGTCGGTGCCCAGTGATGATCGCTCCGTTTGCTCGTCGGCAAAAAAATAAATTACGTTTATTTATTTAATTTTCTTTCAAATTTAGACGTGTAAGTTCAGCAGTCATATAATAATCGCTTCGAATAGAGACGTATAATTTTGGACGCTGAGCTCGCGCTTAGGTAGGACGGACTCGCCGCAGACAAATCGACTGGCCGTCGCAAAAAGGACAACGCCGACGGGCAGGCGCGCGCGCGCAGGGCCTTAAAGTAATTATTCCGTCTATAAAACGGCCCGGCACGAATTTCCGTGACGAATTGCCCGCGATATCCAGCGCGAGCAAACGAAACGCCCACGAAGAAGAGGCCGGCTGAATCCGCGCGCGAGAGGAGCGACTTTCGAGAGGCAAGTCTTCACGGGAGGGCGTCACGTCTCTGGGTCTCTGATGACGACGGCACGTTCGACTTGCGAGCCTTGGACGAGCACGACCTGGCAAAGGGGGCGGGAAAGAGGGGGGAGGGAGGAGAGGAGAAGGTTCACCTCGATCAGCTCGGTTTCTACACGATGATGACATGTTAATGTATGGACGCGTAGTACATAAGCGTGTCTGGAAGGAGGTACCGGGAGGAGGGCGAGCAACGCTGGTGCCAAGCCACGAGCCAAAGCAGGCAGCCTCCTCCCCGTCCTCCGTCGAGCCCTCCGCCGAGCCCCGCGACACCCCTTTCGTGGCGGATGGATTTCTTTCGGTTCAAGACGAACGGGCCCAGGTCCCCGACCGTCGTCCCGAGTCATTGTCGCCCTGCCTTCTTCATCTGCATACAATGCTGGAGACATCCGCGCGGCACACTGAACCGTCCCTCCTCCTCCTCGCTCTTCCCTTCCTGTTGAACTGACTCCCGCTCTCCCCCCTCTTCTCCTCCCCCCCGACGTATCATCGGGATGTCGTTAATGCGACCGCCCGTCGAAATTATCGAAAGAGAAACTGAGATCCATCATGGGCATGGCGAACCAGCTCGAGAGACCGGATTTTGGATTAAATATGACGTCTAAATTAATCCAGCGGATTTTCGAAACGATGAGTGTCGCAAGAACAGCCGAAGAATTCGTACTGCTAGAGGAGTGGCTTAATAAATAGGGAACGTCTACGATTTCTTCAATCTCCATCTTATAATTCTTGGAAATGTTTGAAATATATAATACTGTGACGAAAATATAACGCAATTTTCATGTCTAACGTTATTGACGTTATCGACCGCAGGCTGCGATTTCAGCCAGAGGGGAAGAACTCGATTAAGAATCTGACGCGGGGATCATAACTATTAGTCGCACTCCCATTCGAACTAAATAGAGGCAACAGTTGCGGTTTATGAAATTAAATCGCCGCTGACTTCTGAAACGAGGGTCAGCCTAGCCAATACTACCTATAATGTTCCAGCACGCTTTATATTTAAAAAAACCTATTCTTCTTTATAAAGTATATTTTTTGTATATAATATATTATTTTATAGTTAATATATATTTTGTAATATTTTTTTCAAGGAAATTATTGATCTAAAAAATAAAATTGATTTAAACGCAAGAAACAGCGTCTAAGATGATGTAGAAAAGCTTTGTAGAGACTGATGTTATTATCCACTTTGCGAAACCTATTTTAATAAAGATTCAACTTATACATAGATATAGATAGTAGATCATTCTCATATCTCCATCGAGTTGCTCCGATGTCTTACTCGGAGTGAAATAATGTAAAAGTTTTTAACGACGAGATGGCGAGAAAGGGGGGGGGATCAAAATATACTCCTCGCATTTGTCAGAAAGGCAGGATTTATTTTTGGAGGGTCCTGTAGAGCGACACTCGGCCACGATGTATAATATCCAGCCTGAGCGCAGCCACCTTTATCTCTTCTATTAACCC